AAAGCCAGAATTACACATACAAACAATGAAACAAGTCTATCACTGGAGGAAAAGCCAGAATTACACATACAAACAATGAAACAAGTCTATCACTGGAGGGAAAGCCAGAATTACACATACAAACAATGAATCAAGTCTATCACTGGAGGGAAAGCCAGAATTACACATACAAACAATGAAACAAGTCTATCACTGGAGGGGAAAGTCAGAATTACACATACAAACAATGAAACAAGTCTATCACTGGGGAAAAGCCAGAATTACACATACAAACAATTAAACAAGTCTATCACTGGGGGGAAAGCCAGAATTACACATACAAACATTGAAACAAGTCTAATACTGGGGGAAAAGCCAGAATTCAATTATTGAAAATTAACTCTTATCCACCTTTCCAGATTCTGTTTTAAGAACACATTTCATTATGGCTTTCGAAATTCAGAAATTAAATAGATCCTAGCTGTGTTTTTTTGGATTTTCAAATGAAGCTACAGTTAAGCAGGGAAAACATGATGACTAAGAGCACGATTTTCTATCGAGTTTCTATATTTAACTGAAACACATTTACAGCTTCCTATGATCCAATCCTCAGTTATTCTACACACAGAATTAATCACGTCTGTATCATATACATCAGGGTCTGCTGCAGTGGCAAATAACACTTTAATAGGGATACTCTCCTTCTTTTCCCTCTATTCAAATTGGAACGGTACATTATTATATCAGTACCATTATAGTGTGTATTGAATTTAACAGCCACATGTGTTTAAACATCAGGTGAATACATATCTTCCTACTCATTTGCATTTTTAAAAATATATAGTATTGCTTTTACATATTTACATTCATATACAATGTGCCATTTACAGTATTAATCATTTTGGAAGGTTTGTTGATAAACTAACTAGTAAAACCTAGATGATCTGGATTAGTAGAGGCCAGATTATTAAGACTTGATAGTTTAGTTTTAACATATTTTATTTGAGAAAACTTGTAAGGAATTGGACACAAGTTATAACAACTTAGATAATGACGTTTAGCTTGTGTCCACCAATTGCAGAGTTGTATTGTAACTACTTAAGTTGACAGCATGTTAGATGTAATATCATGTTAAACTTGATTATAAGTTAAACCCAATTTTAAATACCTGACAGCTATTTTATTAACAGATACTTTTAATTTTGATATCTGAAAATGTTAATAAACTGTGGTAGGAACACATTTAAAACGGGGGAGCAGTGTGGCAGATTTTAATTGTACATAGGATTATGTTTGCCTTCTAGTTTCGAACTAGAGGGAATTTGCCTTTTAAGCTCAGTGGTAGGGCGTCCGAGTAGGAATCAGGGGATTGCGGGTTCAATCCCCGTTGGAAGCACACTATTATCTTTCATGTTATAAAACTACTGTATTAATGTTTAATATCCAACAGTACTAGTTTTGTTGATAAACTTTTTTTTTTTTTTTATAAATGTTGTTCCAATTCATTTTTGCGGTGTGTGTTAAACTATATTATCATTCCATATCATGATGTCTGATCGACTAGGATATTCCAGATTTAGATAAGAGATGGCTTTACACCGTAAGCTATAGTAATCCATCTGGTTTATAATCATTGTCTAGGAACAGCTGTAGCCGGTGTAACAATGGGACATAAACATCTGCACAGACACTGAACAATACAGCGCTATAAGCTCACTCTCTCATCTCCTATATATATGATCTTTTTACCCTACCCGTGTGAAAATTGTACTGAGGAAAGTGTTGCATTTGTCAGGGAGCATTGTGATGTTATAATTGAAACACCGAGTCAATGATACCGATCCAACCAATGAGAATGTAGGCAAAATAGGTGTCATCAAATATTAACAGATACTTATTGCTTGTTTTGAAATATTTGAATGACCATTTTAATTTATATAAAGAGTCCGCAATGTTAACAATAGTCTCGGGATTGTGGCAGGCCTATACAAATGCTACTGGACCAGCAGTTTTATATCCCCAGGCCCAACAGGCATTTGAAACAAGAGGCCCAATGGGCCTGCACCGCTCACCTGGTATTAATCTCACACTTGTAATATTAAAAGTGGACTGAAATACAGCTACAGGCAGAATATCAGTGTTTGATTCATAAGAACCTATTAAAAGATTTAAACATATGTGGCATGAGACCTTGAATGTCGAACAGGGACATTAGGTTGAAAGTGGGTCAAGGTCATTCATTTGAACAATCTTGGTAGCCCTTAATCCCAGCATGCTACAGGCCCAATATCAGTACTCTGGGCCTTTTGGTTATTAAAAGAAGATATTTGAAGATTTTAAGACATCTGACCCCAGTGACCTTGAAAGGGGGTCAAGGTCATTCATTTTAACAAACTTTTTTGTTTTTTGTTTTTTTAATTATCTTTTTATTCAGATTTTTCATCAATGCAATGTACATGTACAATAAATAACAAAACATTCACTCATTTGTATACTGGCACATACATACATAAACCTATATCTGTTATGTCCACATTCGTCATAGAGTACATACATTCTCACGATGATATTTAACCACAATAGCATACATACTCATTTCCGTCTATTTTAACATTTTATTACCTATATATATACATCCATCCATGTGTCTGACATCTATATGTCTCAACCATTCATTGCTATGTCTCATGTAAAAATAGAACACATATCAACCTTCATCACATATGGTACAGTATATGTCTTTATGCTAGAAACAATATCTGCATTAAATTTTATATAACCGCACATACTGTATAACTCATGTCCATGTCAAAAACACCCATGTCCATGCATAAGCATAATTAAGATGATTTCACCATACTCGCATGCGTTGTACTCACACAAACCCATATGCATGATATTAGACATTTTCAGACATTCCTGTATGTACTAGTACTGATTATTGAAATGTAAATTTATGCAAAGAGAAAAAATATCAGTCCCACACAAAAAGGTAAATGAAAAATTTGCACAGTCTACTGAGTACATTGCATTGTCTTTATAAGAAAGAGGAATTGAGATAGAGATTGAGAAAATAAAAAGAAAGGGAGAATAGAGAACATAAAGAAACGAGAGAAGAAATGTATGAAAAGTTGGGCGAGATGGTGGAAAAAGGAGGTGGATATTCACTCATGTATATTATATTATATATAGGTAATATATCG